ATGATGTCTATCAGCAAATGGACTGATAGGCCCCAACAGTACAGCCACTGAGAGCTATTTAATGCAAACAAATTTCAATACTGCTTTAAAAGACAATGAAACAATGAAATCCATTAGGAGGTACTTGTCCTTGTGATGATGATGATTTTGAGACACAGAGGAGCCAAAGCTACAAATAATCCTGTACCTCTAGATTAGCGCTTCCATTTTCCTAAAGCCTAAAAGTACGATACTGAAAAACAACATGGCAGAGTGGAAAGAGCTTGGAATGGATCTGTCAAAGAACCTAGGTTTGAATCCCAGCTTTGCTATTTACTGCCTATTGGTCCTAGGAAAGTCATTTCTTCCCTCTCAGCCTCTGCTCCACTGGGCAGAAGTTGGACCAGATGTTCTGATCTCTGAGCTCCCTTTCAGGGCTAGATCTCATCAACTAGTAGTACAAATTGCTACAGAAGTTCTTTATTCTATATCCACTAAGTGACAGCCAGTAGTAATATTTAATAATTTCAGATACACTGATCTGAGAATTTGTAAATAACTGCATTTATTTTCAATATGGCACGTTTCTGAATGTGGGCTACAGCTACTGGTTATCATCTTCTTCTAACCAAAAATAAGTTCATATGGTCTGAATAAGAATATTCCTGTTGTAAAGCCTTACTAAGTCTCTCCTCTTCTCCTCTTAAGGTAATAATAAACTACAATTCCAGGGGACCAAAGATAAAGCATACTGCTCACCTCCTGACAGGGAGCTGATAAACTAAAAATGTAAAATAAGACACATTTTTGGACGTGGCCAAGAAGACAATTTGCTTTGACTATGCATATTTGTTATGAAATTTTTCTTTTTGTTGTTTTCTTCTTATTCAAGGAAAGGGGAGATGGAGAAGAACAGAAAACAAATGATTGTTTTTTTTAAAAAGCCCCCCAAAAGTACATATGTTCTTTTTTTAATATTATTGTACAAAAGACTGAACTGGTGTTGGAAGGGTTAAGAAAAGATAGGCTCTATAATATACTGTGAAAGAGCTGTGAATTAATCCAACCATTCATGAGATTTAGAATTATTCTTAAAAATAAGTGATGAGGATGTCTATATCCTTTGGTCTCACCAGTAATAAATATCCCCAAGAAGGTTAAAAAAAAAGAAAGAAAAGTTTCATATACATGCCAAAAAAACCCTTTCAAAACAGCATTTCTGTGATAGCAAAAACCTAGAAACAAAGTAGATGCCCACTGATTTAAGAATGGCTAACCAAATTGTGGTACATGGATATAATGGAATATTCCTGGGCAATAAGAGATGGCAAATATGAAGAATCTGAAGAAGTTTAGGAAGATATATGAACTGATGCAATGTGAAGTAAGTAGAACCAGGGAAACAACCTATAAAATAAATACAGTAATATAAATGGGAAGAACAACATCAGAAATGAAGAAACAAAATTTTGAATATTGTGTTAAAAATATAATGACCAAGCTTGGCCCTAGAGTAGAGCTGAGAAAATGTACCTCCCTTCAGAAGATGAGGGACACGAATTAAGGACATGGAATATTACATATACTGTCTTTTTGTTTTATTTATTTTTTGTTCTTTTTTTTTTGCTGAAGCAACCAGGGTTAAGTGACTTGGTCAAGGTCACACAGCTAGTAAGTGTCAAGTGTCTGAGGTCAGATTTGAATTCAGGTCCTCCTGACTCCAAGGCCGGAGCTCTACCCACTGCACCACCTAGCTGCCCCTATATATTGTCTTTTGTCTCACCACTGGACTTTGATGACTCTGGAGAAGAGGGTCAGGCTGATGACTTTGCATAGCTCTGCCTCACTTAAATCCAATTCACACACTAGACATCACCCTTGTGGTGTCATCGGTCCTCTGCAAGAACAAAGGATGAACAAACAACATGTCAGATGGATTAGTCGATGTGCTAAATTACTTATTTTTCTCTGTTTTTTTAATCTTTGTTATAAGGGATGGCTTATTTAGTAGTAGAATGGAGAGGGGATACATTCAAAAATGAAAATGACATAAAAACAGAATATCAATAATTATAAAAGAAATTGGACTGAAGAGCCAAGATATATGACTGCCATATAGCATAAATACTACCCTTAACTCAAATAGGAGCTCTAAATGTTACAAGCCTGATATGTCAGGTTACCTTACTGTGAACCTCTGTAATAAAACACCAACTGCATACCCCTAACATACACTTAATAAGACACAGCAAATTGGGTCAATTTTAAAAATCTAAAAAGCCCACCTCATATGATTATTAGTTCCCTACCAAAGTTCCCTTAGAAGATCTTCCAAGGAAGATGGATGTCCCAAATTTGTCATGGATATAGGAGAGGATAATTTCATTTAAGTATGGGTTGGATTAGACAGCCTTGAAGGCACAAAGTTAAATGCTCTGATTCTATGGAATAGTTCAGTATCTAGCTAGCCTTACACGTCATGTTAAACATAGCCTTTTTTGGTAGGGAAGGGAAGTGTGAAACTGATTTTAATCAGCATAGGGAGCTCCCAGAGACTTTTCTGAAACTTATGATCTTAAGAAAGTTTCCTTGGGTATTAAGAAGTAAAGTGACTTGTCTGTGATCACACAGACAGTAGTAGGTGTCAGAGGCAGGATTTGAAACCAACCTTTCCCAAACCAGTGCTGGCCCTCCACCTACTGTATCTCATATTTTAGCCTACAAATACCCCACAAGCTCCCATCAAGTATTAACCAGGCTCAACACTTTTTAACTTTGAATGTGACATGCGAATGGTCTTTCAGAGAGATAAGACTTTCCAAATAACATAAACATAGATTTAAGCTGTAACACAGAGGACATGACTGACGTATATGTGATATCATATAATGATTTTATCATTATATGTAATATAATGTTTTTTATCAAATATGTAGAATACTTTGGATCATTAAGGTCAGGTAAGTAACAATTTTGTTCTTCAACCACATAAGTATAATATTGAACAATTAAATCTGCCTCTGCTGTCTATAGAATAATAGAATGAAATACGATGATGAAAATAAAAATTTATGAAAGGTTAATGGAAGGTTAACGAACATTTTCAATGAATAGATTGAGTTTGGGGATTGTGGAAGGGAGGGCATAGTTTGCCAGAATCATTTGCACCATTTTTGTGCTAGGTAGATCTGGGTGTTTCCAGGCATATTATCAACCATGCTAGCCCCCAATTTTGACTTGGAAAAGAACATCTCAAACCATATGCGTAATACTCTTTGTAGAGGTTTGCTCAAAATTGTTCATGCCACAATTGCACATTTTTGTAAATCCATAAATTAAATGAAACACAAGTACTAAAAGCTCAGGATTCACTGAATCTGTTTACACTGAATCGGTATGAAGTGTTGTGATAATCTAAAAAACCCTTTAAGGTTTTGGGGTTTTGGGGCGGGGAATGGTGCAGGGCGAGACTCATCTGATTCATGTACAGCAAGTCCCATCTCCTATGGACGTGCTCTGGCTCCCTTCTCTTTTCTGCAAAGTTCCATACCCAATGCTTACTTTCCCTACTTGAATCATTAGTCAATGCCTAGCAGCTACCTGCCTGTAAGGTCATAAATTTAAAGTAAATCAGATGCACTTGACCAAGACCTTGTTCCCTTCCCTTTAAAAAAGAGGCCTGTGGGCCTCCCTGACCTACCCTGATGTAGAAGACACTAAAGAGTCAGGCATCAGACACACTGATTGAGAGGTAGAAAACTTGACAAAATCTGTGTGTACCCAATCTGAAGATGGGCTCTGCAAAGGTCCGTGGCTGGTCCCCACTGTTCTTCCTTCTTATTGTGTCCCAAGAGCTTTAACATTCTGAGATCCAGTTGTTATGGGACCCTTCTGGCAACTGAGACTCTGGTTTTTCCCTTGCCTTTAAAGTCCCTTGTTCCCTGAACTTTAGTCACCTATGCCCCTGCCTTTGGAAGTTTCATTGGCAGCAGCACATCATATGAAAATCTCCTCCAACTGTTAAAACTGCCAGAATGGACTAGGGTAAGTATTCTTTTTGAAAGAATTAAAATCACATCCTAACAGGTATAATAAGTTGCAAAATGACATATCTGAATGCACAACCTCTATGTTCCCTGATAATGATACAAATTTTGTCCAATAAAATTTACATGTACAATTCTGGAAGTTACTTAAAAAAGTGGTATTTAGAGGGTCAGAAAACTGCTTCTCATGAGACCATCCATATTTATTTGCTTCTCCTTTTTATAGCATACTGCAAAATATTAATGTTTATTTGTACATGACCCCCAAGCTCCCACTATCCCTTATGTTTTATCAATAGAAACACCCAACAAGAACAGTTTTATCTAAGTTTATTTAAGTGTAACAAAAGTAGAACAATGCATACCAAATGGAAGAAATGTCCAAAAAGAGGAGACAAAAATATTTAGAAACAAGAATGACTAGTTTGCCAAGAGTGACCACCCAGGTGCCATTAAAAACACATTTAGCAATTTATAAATGTCACTAGTATACATTAAATTCAGGAACTGACTCTCAGTTCACTGCTAAAAGTTATCAAATTATTTCCAAAATAGAACTGACAACATCCATAAGTATCTAAATGTCAAACAAAATAAATATTTATTCTAATGAATAAACAAATGTATCCTAAGAGAAAATAGAAATCATCACTCATGGTGCCAGAGAAATACTCCATGTTCTCACATAAAATTGTGAGGTTTTTTAATATTCAAAAATATATTAACAAATCTTATATGCAAATTTCTGACATAAAAAGAAAACTGTTTCACAACCTATATATTCCTACTATGAAACAGAAAGAATTCAATTTCACTAGTCAAAACTTTCCTAAAACAGAAATTGCATTTGAATTTGACTCCTCAGATCAAGGCTGAAAATTGTCAGCAAGGCACTCTAGGCTTTTCTCACACCAATTGACCCAAAAGATTTTTTTAAGAAATGTTTATTTTCTGTGCATATCATTTGATTTAAAATTATAAATCCCTGAGCACTTTCTCTTCTTCCTCCTCATCACTGTCAGTTACATTAACCTGCTGGATACTAGAGGGAGTAGATGCAGGAGCTGTGAATACATTGTCTAAGGCTCCAATGTCCAGTTGAGGCATGGGGTTTAAATATTCCTCCCCACTATGGCTATGGCTGTTATAGTAAGAGGCTCCATCCAGGCTTTCACGGCTTCGAGAATCTTCACTGTGTGTACGTTCATCTGGGTAGTCTCTGAAGGGATAGTCTCTATTTAAGGCAGAAAACATAGCCTCATGCTTTTGGTACCTATCTTCATAATAGCCAAGGCATTCTGGCATTGAACTTGGGAAATTTCCATAGCCAAAGGGAGGACGACTATAAGGACACGTGCTGTAGCAAAAAGATACCAAAAAGGAGTTAACTTGAACTTTTTGTTATATACTGTTTTGCATATAGACTAAGACAGAAAATTGACTACATCCTCATTTGGATCCAGACTGTTACCAGGGTTGTTACCACTTCATGGATTCACATCTTTTTTTTTTTTTAATGTGGTAAAGTAAGCTCGTGACTGAAATACTCACCAGCCCCATTATCTGTTTCATGCCTCTCACCTTCTGACAACCTTGATAAAGAAAAAGGATTCAGGCCCTTCTCTGCTAATGCTATACACCATATAGGGCTTGGGAGATGCAAGTATGTACAAAGCATGCTAAGAATTCTGACACTTAGTGAAGTATGTGACATAACTGTTAGTTACTACTTGCATTTAAAGGAAGCTAATGGAGAAAACAGCGCAATTTTGATCAATTAATTTTGGGGGGGAAATAAAGGGAGATGAAAATTTAAGTTGCCTTTTTTTAAAGGGCAAAAAAATAATATGAAAGATCTATTTATCACCAGAAGAACCTGGAACTCACTGACATTACTTTGTGGTTTTAGGAGGATTCGGTTTGCAGGGGAAAACAAGAGGAACTGAAAAAATTACTTTGGTACATCTCAAGGAAGTATAAAAAGAGCAAGTCAGATAATTGCCCTTCAAATCCACTTGATTCAAGGTAAATAAATGTAAAAGGCTGGAGACATTGTTCCCTCCTTTCAGAGGCACAGAACAGGAATCATGCAAGGTATGGAAGAGCTGACCCACATGGTTCCCTGTGCTCATGGACTCCATCTAGTGACAAGAAGATGTTAATAAATTGTAATTGCAAATGCCATGACAAGCTGTGTTTCTTTTAAGATTCCTCAATTAACTGCTTACCTTTAATAGTGTTCAGTGTAATCTGCACAGGAGACTATCAATCCCTATGTGGTTTTCCCAAACCACACCCTCTCCATAGCAGGGATGGTGTGGTTTGTAATTCTGTACCCCAATCCCAAATTCTTTAGTAATTGACCAATAAATGGATAATAAATTAGAGTCATCCATTAACTTTAGTAATATTTTCAAATTTTTCTTCCAGTTGTTACCACCCTAATGTAGGCCCTTATTACTCCACACCTTGACTACTGTAACAATCCACTAAATATGCCTTCTTATATTCTTACCTTCTTACCTGTTTATACAGTTCCTCCCCATCTAACTCTATTTTTAAAAATCCTACCCATACTTCAAGGCTTAATTCAAATCACACCCGCCCCCCACCTCCCACAAGTCTATAACCACAGCTGGAAGCTGGTGTTCATTCATCAAGATCATTTCATTATGATTACTAAGAATTTTATATACATTATCTCATTTGATCTTCAAAGAAAAGGAAACAGAGGGTCACCAAAATAAGTGGACTTGCCTGAGGCCACACAGTTAAGGAGTGTCAACTCTTTTGACTCTAAGCCTAATGGGCTAAAGGATGGGAACATGAGTAAGACACATCTCTGTACATCAGCACAGCGGGAGTTCACAATCCACTGGGGAAGAGAAAACATAAATGACCACAATAGCTATTATAGAATAAATGCCATTAAAGGCGGTATGGAGAGTAAATCATACAGATGCACAGAGGAAAGACCTTTCAGTTGAAGTGATGACAAAAGGCTTCACAAAGCAAGCTACAAAGGCCAGAGCCAGAGTGGTATAAGAGAAAAAGCCCAGGACTACTGAGCCCAGTCTCAAGTCCTGGCTCTATCACCATTTGGGTAACCTTGGACAAGGCACTTCACCCTTCTGAACCTCAGTTTCTTCATCTGTAAAATGGCAATATTAATCCTTGCCTTGCCTAACTCTGATTGTGAGGATAATATGAAATAATATACATGAAAAAACCATCCGAATGTAAAGAGTCTTTAGGTTCTAAAAGAAAGCTACATTTTAAATATTGCATTCATGAGATATAAAACAGTAATACACTCACATTCTGCTCAATTCTCTCAGGGACTATTATGGGTTTGCTTCTGCTTAGGCACTTATATGCTTGTCAAATCCTATCAAATCACTGAGAACAGGTGATGTAGTACTTACCTCATCAGACTGGGAGGATCAAATGAAACAATATATATATAAGGCTTTGTAAAGCCTAAAGTAGTATATAACTATCAGCTATTATTCTTCTAATTCCTTCCTGCATTCTCTCCACCAAGAAAACTAATACTCAAGATCTATGACAGAAAAGTTCTCTCCTGTGTAGACATTAGCCTTGAGAAGTGTTTCAGGGGCTCCCTGCTGCGGTGCTGGAAAAATGCCCAGAAGTATGTGTGACTGGTAATGCCCTTCAGGAAATTCAAGGTCAAAATGGCTACGTGCAATGCCACTCTGTACCCGCATGGAGCAGAACGGCTATTCATGAGATCTTAAGATCACAGATCTAGTACTGGAAGAGTCTCTAAGGCCATCTGGTCTAACACATTCATTTAATAGATTAGGAAACTGAGGCCCACAGAGATCAAGCTAGTCTTCCTACATCATTAGCCCAGAGACATGACCTACACATATTCATGCAGTTTTTTACAAGTTAAGGAGCAGGGAGTTGATTCATTAAGCTTTATCTATACTGTAGGATATATTTCATTCCAAAGTAATATGTGTTGAACACAGACATACGAGGATGGCAAAAGACTAAAACCAGAGTCAGTAGCTTCTTTGAAAAGTGGCATGCCAAGACTCCAACATATTTAATTATTTAGTGTTTGTGGATAAGGATAATAATAATAGCTAACATTTATTTAGCACTTACTATGTGCCAGGCATTATGCGAAGTGCTTCCCAATTATTATTTCATTTGATCCTCACAACCACTCTGGGAGGATTTTCCCCATTTTCCAGATGAGGAAACTGAGGCAAACAGAGGTTGAGTGACTTGCCTAGGGTCACACAGCTAGTAAGTATCTGAGTTAAGATCTGAACTCAGGTCTTCCTAACTCAAGCCCCAGGGCTCCATCTGCTGTACATGACACCTAGCTGCCTCTAGGTGGGAAGGGAAAGCACATGCAGTGACTGATCCTTACAACAGGACAGCTTTAGTGGGAGCTCCCTAAAGTGGCAGGGCAATGTGCATGGAGGTGGTAAGGGAACTGGGACAGGGAGGGGGTTTGGCATCCTGGTCACAGGCTGCCGATGCCTGACTTTGTGAAACATAACAAATCACAGAAGACAAAGAAAGCATGAAACAAAGATGGCAGAAAGATTTTTCTAAATATGCAGAAGTAGATTTTTTATAATAAAAGAATTCTGTTTTAAATTCCTTAAATACTACCTAAGAAGTAAACTATGCAGAATTCAATTTGCTTTCTTCAAAAGGACATAAAATGAAATATACTTCAGATCTAGCACATCAAGTGCGTAACATGCCCTCAGTTCAGAACTATTCAGTGTAACCCTTAAATTCCTGATAAATGGAACTCATCATACAGCTGTTCCCAAAGATGGCAACTTCTTGCTATGCTCTGCTTCTCAAGAACAGAAAGAAGGAACTGATAAGCTTCAGTATTCTACCCCACATATGACCTGGTCTCACTTGCAACCTAGCATTGGGACCAGAGGGCAAAGGGTTTGCAGCATCAGTGGTATGAGGAGTAGCTCTGTGAGATTTGCCTTACTGGTGGCATTGGGACCTTGAAACAGGCCAATGGAAATTATGAGGATTGAGGAAGGACTGTGTGCTTTCTATTAGCACTTTGATTGCACACTTTCAGCATGGCTCTGCTCTGAAGAAGGCAGCCCACCTGTAACCCAACTGGTCTTTTCTAAATCTTCTTTCTAACATTTTCCTTTCAATAGCTGAACCAATATTAGGCCCAACTTCAAACTTCATCATTCTTTCCCCTCATTTCCCTTCTTTTCGATTCCAATTTCCTCCAAATTTGCAAGTGGACCTTGGACTTGTTTGTTTATAACTTCACATTGCAAATTTTGTATACATTTGTTGCTCTTAAATCAAGCCCAGCCCATTCCAAAACTGCTAACAGTTTTTAATTCAAATTATGAGATTTCATTATTATGGTGGGATTATAAAATGGACTGGAAGACCAAAGTAAAAAAAAAATCCTTATTTATATAAGATTATTTTTTCCTAGGGGGATAAGCTTATATTTTCCCTAATGTCCTACATTTGAAACCTCTATCTCCAATTGTTCTAGATGTCTTTTGCATCATTTCTTCACTTGGTGGTTAGAAGAACAGATACTCTAGATCAGATGTGTCAAATACATGGCAGAACCAGATTAAAATATAATTGGAGGAATTTAACAAAATACACAAAAATGCAATAAAACATAGTTGATGTTAATATGTGGTTTTCTAAGTCAATCTGCATCTGCAAGGATCCTCATGTATCACTTCTATTTGAGTTTTACATCATTGCTCTTGATAATTCCTTTTAGCATGGGAGACCTATTTATTTAATTGCTAAAGAAAAGGAAGAACTAATCTAAGGAAGAAGACTCATTATACACAGCATGAAAAAGGTTATCGTAGAAACTCAAGGGACAAGTGATATAGTAGTTCATAAAAGTAGAAATAAGGATTTCTGAGTCTCTATGTCCCATTAAATGACTCTTATGTTAAACCGATCAAACTAATACACTGATCACCTCTTTGCCTTTTACTCTAGACCATGGTTCTTCAGCTTTTTTGTGTCATGGGCTCCTCTGGTATCTGATGAAGCCTAAGCGAACCCTTTTCATAGTAATGTTTTTATATGCATAAAATAAAGTATACAGGACTACAAAAGAAATCAATATTTTGAAATATGGTTATCAAAAAAAAATTAGAACAAGTTTATAGACCACAGGTTAAGAACCTTTACTCTAGACACATCTACTATGATAATTAAACTGTTTGAATAGTTTTACACATTAACTAATTAGATTGGTTATGGGATAAACTTTTAAAAAAGTATTCAATAATCATATAGAAGGAGAGAAAAGTCTCTCACCCACATTAAGTAGAGGATTTGAACAGTAGAGAAATGGAAAAGAAATAATTTGATTAATTTTTAAATATTACCTGAGTTTTAATGACCTATCTCACCTAATTAAACATGAAAAAAGACCAACCTGTTTCTCTAGAAAAGTACAAAGGATCATGCACTGGGCCTTAAGGGTAGGACGGCTATAGTGCCAATACCAGTGCTGCCCCTTACAGAACCAGCTACAGAACCCTGATCCTTAAATTTCTCATCTGTAAGATGGAAATAATATCTGCTACTTACCTCAAAAGGTTTTTTTGAGGACCGCATGAGATAATATATATGAAATGTAAGCCCTTAGCATTATGCATATACACAGGTTAAAAGACAGGAAAGCAATAGGATGAGGGGGTAATGCAACTATCTGATTTTTCTGTTTAGGAAATCCATACTTTACTAAAGATAAACTCCATGTACCACCATGATTTGCTGTTAGACACAATCCTTTGAAATCCCTAAATTAAATGAAGTCCAATGTGTTAATACTGCTTCAACAAGTCAGTTCATTTGGTCCTTCACAAAATACAATAAACAGTCAAGTACTCAATGTGTAGGACACTATAAAACACTCCAGTCACTATCCCTACCCCCTGAGCATTTATTTACATTCAAAGAATGATGCCCAGTGATCTGCTTTGTAATATCTGAAAATCTTCAAATTCACATACATTTAGAGTTAGGGAGATAGATCTCACTATGGATTAGCTTAATAAAGAAGGCAGCCATTCTCTGCCCAAGAATGTCAATACTCTAAACAAAGGCCACTTAACTATATAAGCAACTTATGATTGATTTTAAACTTTCCAACCAGGTTCTTCTGTATATTTCCCTGCTTCCTATGCATCCTTACAGTTGTTAGTCCTCTAAGGTAACTGTCATTTCAACTAGACACAGGGTTATAAGACTGACAGGACATTGGGAAAAGCACTATATTTGAAGTCAGAAGATCCTGCAAGATCCAAACACTGCCTTAGTCACTGACTATCCCTATGACTACAGGCAAATCATTTCACCTCACTCAGTTTCCTCATCTGTAAAATGAGTATAATAATAATTTTACTACCTATTTCACATGAACTAATGTATTCACAGGAAAGTAATTTGTAAATTATGCTAATTTTAGATCAGGGCTAAAATAAATTTTGAGCTATGATCCTCTAAAAAGTCCACAAAACTCTGGTGCTCTCTGTCCCTCCCACATTAGTATAACAGTATAACTTTATAATAATTCTAGCTTTGCAGTGTCCAAAGCATATTTATACATATTATCTCATCTGATATTTGATATGTTTTATTATTCCCCTTGTAGCTCCTAAAAGCCTTAGGGACCCAAAGATTGAAATGGTACTAAGGGACCAACCTTCATAAGACTGAATAATCAGTCTTCACCATCTCCTCTGGAAGTTTCTGCTAATTCAACAATGGATATGAACTAAATAATATTAGAAGACCTTTTAAGGCTCCATAAAATGTTTCATTCATATATAATACTCACTTCAGCTAAATCCTCTCAATTTATAGAAGGTACCCACTTGCTGAAGGTCAGTTCCTCAACTTATTTGAGGCCTACTGGTCTGCATTGGGAAAGTGAAAAAGGCAATGGTGAGCAAATGAGCATCAGAACAAGGGATATATCCTCTGCCCACTGCCTCTTCTTTTCTTCTTCCATTGGAGGAGGAGGAAATACCTTACTTGGCAAACTATTTAATTTTACAACATACAAAAGATAAAAAAGGAGAGTCTTTTGGGCTTGGAAGTCTCAAATTTAGGACATAGATGAACATATTATATTGCATAGAATCAAAGGCTCTTGCCCTGCCCACATAAACACTACCCCATGGAAAGAAGACCCCAGGGAGAAAGATATACCCCAACCCTGAACCCCCCAGACACTGCTAAAGCAAACACAGAACCTGGTGCAAGAAAGATAACTCAGGGCCCACCCTCCCCTTCCTATCCTACTCCAATAACTGAAACTCTCCTCTTTTTCAATTTAACTTCCCCTTTTTCTGCTAGGCCTGAAGGAAGGACTTGAAATAAGCCAGCCTAGATAGCGTAGGTTCAACTTAATACTTTGTTGCTTCAATAGGTCTTTCTTTTGGAGGAGAGGGGTGGAGCTGGAAGGAGAAGAACACAAAGGTGGGGAACCTACCTATACCTACTAACTTAGGAATACTTGATAAATAGAAAGACTAATAAAAGGATAGTTGTATACTTGCAAGGGAGCTCGATGTTGCTATCTCTAAATTATAAATTTCCCTTTCTAGGTTGCTTAATAAAAATTAATGGAAGAATCAATTTGCATGTAATAGTTTATGTAGGAAGCATATGGTGTAGTGAAAAGAGCACTGGACTTAGAGCCATGAGATATAAATGGGTTTTAGGTCCAAGTCTATCTACTTCTCTGCACTGGGCCTCAATTTACTCATCTATAAAATGAGGGATTTAGATTAAATTATCTCAAAAGATATCTTCCAACTCTAAAATACCACAGCTGTATATCTGTCCTGAAAACCAATGCATCATAGAATAAGTAAAGTAATAAAGAGTATAACCACATTTGAACAACTCAGTTTCTCAGAGTGGAAAAGGTATAATCATGCTCCCATAATTAACTGAGTTTTTCAAAGACCATTTTTAAGCCTGTTCTACATATTGCGGGAGTCTTTGATTTCTGAGTTCCATTAAAACATAAGTAACTATTTCTATGTAAAAGAATTTCTATGTAAAACAAATTAATTTTTGTTACCTTGATGGGAAGTAGTGAGGTCCTGGCAAGAAGTAAGGGTGATGAAAGGAGAATCGAGGAGGTGCACCAAATAAAGTGGCTGGGTGGCCAATGGGAGGGGGTTGATAGACATGAGGATGTGAAATGGGTGGAGCCTGAGAGATTGGTGCACTTCGGGGACAAGTAGAAACGCTGGGGTACTCCTTAGGGGGCTGAATGGTAGAGGGGGCAAATCTGGCATGAGCAGTACTTGCACTAGTTGGATTTCTACTGGTACTCTCCAAAGAGACTGGGGTCGGTCTCTTTACAGAGCGGTTAGCTCCTGGATGCAGATGATGAGTGTCCGTTTGGGTGGGTCCAGCAAAGCGCTGTGGTGGAAGAGCTGGACGAAGAGGCAAGCTTGGAGCCGGGACGGCCACCTGAGCAGTGCTGGCAACGCTTGGTTGTAACAGTGTAATAGGGCTTGGACGCTGGACTGGAGGTGTGGGTAGCTGGATAGTAGGTGGGGCTTCACCTTTAAAAATAAAAATAGTCTGTGTCCATTACTAAAATCATGATACAACTAATCAAAGTAAATAGCTTAACTCTCTATTTCTTCCCCAAACTTCTACAAGAAGGAAAATTTCCAGGTTGGTCTAGACTAGAATGTGGGTTCTATATAGGTCAATTTGGGACAGAAATAGGATAAAAGTGTTTCTGGGAGCAGTTCCTCAAGGAAACTAGGGTGAGTGATTTTGGTTAAATAACAGTGTGTTTGATATGATAATACTGATTTTACTATTCTGGGCCCTAAACTAACGATGCTTATTGAATGAATGGATTCATTTTAACTGTGATTCTGTATTTGACTTTACTAATCCTTCCTCTCCCACAAATGTGCAAATTTACCAATCAGCAACTAGGAGGAGCACTGTAACAAGCACTATGTCATAAAAACTTTGAGGTAAATTAGGTTCAGTTAATCTGATTTAAAATTTTGATTCTCACTAGTCACCTAGCCTAGAGGAAAGAGCAATAAATTTGGAGTGAGGTTATGGAGGCAATTTTGGAGTTGGACTTTAAAAGAATGCCAAAAATTGAATCTGAGGGAGAGAAACTCATGAAATTGAGATACACTGAGGATAAATTAAAAAATAACTTACACTGAAGAAGGGGCCTATCTGAAGAAAATTTTTGAGGAGAAAGTAGCTAGTTATCCTACAAGGAATAATTGAGTAGCAAAAGCTGTCAAATAAGAGGTCATGTAGAAAAAGTCAAATAAAGGAGAGACTTTCCTCCAGTTAAAGGTATTGATTGTTTGTCAACCTGGTAGCAACGGAGAGGTCTGTTGTCTTTGCAAGGCATGTATCCAAGTCATACCAAAGAACCTCCCAAGACTTGTCCAAATGGATGAGTACTACCCACTTCTAATGCTTTTCACTAACAAAAGGAATCTATAAAGTACTGACAATGATTATAAAGTTTTGGGCAAGGAACTGAAGACCACAGGAGCATAAAACATTTTCATAATTTAGGGTAAGAGATATATAGAAGACTCAAATCAATTTGGGGAGTAAGGAACTAGCTATGAAGATGATGAGACTGGAATACGGATTTCTGGATCATAGCTACTATTATAAGGATGGAGTGAAAATAACAAAGGCTGATAAGAATCTACTTGCCTCATGTCTTTCATAGCTAATGAAACAGGCTTTAAAATTAAAAAAAAAAAGATGGAGGAAAAAAAACTTCCTATGTATGTCCACCAAGCTAGATATCATAGAAAGTAACCACAATGAAGGAAAGAAATTGAGACACCCTCAAAATCTCACAGAATATAAAATCCAAGAAAGGAAACAGCAGTTTCCATTCCTCAAATGTCTACGTATAAATGTCCACAACAAGTAAAATGAACTAGAAATCCCAATGCAAAAAAGGCAAATTGGACCTCAAAGCCATCACTGAGACTCAATGGCATGAAACCCAGAGCTGAAACACATCTCTGAATGGAAAAGAAACAGGATAGCTAAAGCAGGGGGAAATGGTTGGGGGAAAGTTGTATATTAAAGAGTATCCAGGTAATGAAATCTGGGATCTAGAGGGGGAAGCATTGTGATCAGTGAGGGGTGAGGGGCAGATTTGTATATTAAGAAGTACCCTCCTCTGAAGAAATTAAGGAACTAGAAGGCTGTACTGTGGGGCAAGCAATTGGATTAAGATCAATAGAGGTGGAAATAGAAGCAATTTTTAATCGGAGTATTCTAGAGGCCACCTGGACAGAAAATAGAAATAGTTGAGGGATTCAAGAAATAGATCATAAGCCTGGTGCAGAGGTGAACAGAAGTGAGAGAATTCAATTGCCTAGACAGCTGCTTGCGTGTGCTCACTTCCCCCCACCCGTTTTCTTTCTCTCTCTTTGCCAAAAGCAGAGAAGCTAATAAATAACATCTTAATTTGCCTTTATGGAAATTTCATCCTTCAAAAGATGGAGAAATTCCATTTTGGATTCTCACTAAAAGAAAATAATTGGTTGTTGGGGTGGAAATAATGGGAACCTTGGGGTGGGGGAATGAACATTTCCTCTTAGAGTTTGTGATGAAGGAGAATAAAAATAGGCATAGGCTAACATATACCCTAAATTTCAGGAGAATAGATTTCAAAGGGTTCAGAGGAAGAACAGGATGGATTCCCATGGACTACAGAGAATTCTACCGAAGAAGTCAGCACTGGAGGGAAATGCTGAAGAAGGAAATTCTAAAGATACAAAAGGAAACAACTCTGATGAGAAGGGAAAAAAAGGAGTTGCCTAAAGAGACTGATATATAAGGATAGGGAACTCACTAGCCAACTCTGATTATAAAAATGAAGCAAGATCATGTCACAAGATAAATACAAAAATATGGCATGGTCATTTTAAAAGTGTCTGAAGTCCTAATGCTCTGAATAATCTGAAGCTGGCAAGGAAAACTACAGACAATAAAAAGGGTTGGGGGGGGGTTGGGCTGTATGTATTTTTCTTTTTTTAAGTTATAATGGCACTAGAGGAGGATCAAAGAAAGAAGAGAATTGCTTCTTGGAAGGATGGAGTGATGATGATTGACAACAGAGAGAAAACAGAGGTGCTCAATACTTATTTTGCTTCTATTTTCCCTGCCAAGGAAAACTGGAAAGAACAGAACAAAATGCTAAGGGCAAAGCTGATACCCAAGAGAGCACCTAGCTGCCCTTGATGAATTCAAGTCAACTGGCCTATATGAACTACATCTGCAGGTACTAAAAGAATTGACAGATATGACTGCTGAGAAATCCAGAAATTGGGTACAAATGTAAAAGAGCAAAAAGGGAAGAGAATAGCCTGCACACTATTGGCCAGTGACCTTGACTTCGATTCTTGGGAAAATTCTACAATGGCTAATTGAGATTCTTAGCAAACATCTGGAAAAGGAAACAAAGAGATGATACAGTGTCATTAAGAACAAGTCATGGGCTTTTACAGCATTCTGTCTGAGGACAAAGTCATACCATGTGGTAAGGGGGAAGGATTTAATGGGCACCTACTTCCCTTCCCCTCTCTCCTTAGGTCATTTGGGCCTGAAAAATGAACCTGAGTCTTTGACCCTTTCTATTCTTTCTTTTCTATTCTAAGTGCAAGGAATGGAGTCTCTAGTCTGGCCCAGGAGCAAAAGCCATAGGAGTCTAGGAATCTAGGAATCTAAGCTGGATGTTACAGCCAGACCAGCAGCAATGCCCTGAGGAACTAGGGTTCAAAGGATGCCAGCCCAGCAGAAGCTGGCACTGCTGGCTTTGAATATGAACTTCTTATGAAGCTAGGTTCTCTGAGGACAAAGCAGCTTATTTTTCTTCAAGATATAATGATAAAGAACCACAGGTGTCACCAGAAAAGGATATCCACTATTAGTCAGAAAGAAAGGCAATAAATTGTGGTAGTTGGTGACTCCTTGCTGAAGGGTGTCAGGATGGCCATATGTCCATATGACATGAACACTGGAAATGTATACTGTCTTTTTACACGTGTCTCCAGAACATAATGGAGAGTGTCCTGAGACTTGCCAAAACCAATGACCACTATCCATTTCTGGTAACTGATGTGAAAAAAGTGATACTACCTGAGAGGTTCAAGAAAGCATTACTAAGGATTATGAAGCACTGGTCAAGAAACTGAAGACATTAGAAGTACAAGTTGTTTTTTTTTTTAATCACTATGGCACTGAAGACAGAGACCTAAGAAAAGAAAGGTAGATTTGGGAAGCAATACTTTAACATTTCAAGGATCCATGATCCATGGTTATTAGATACTCCTTCCAACAATATAGACTACAATTCCTCTATGGCTTAGCAGACTGGCTTTAAGACATTCCACAGGCTATGGTACATGAATGTAATGGAATACCATTGTGCTATAAGAAATGATGAAGAGGACAGTTGCAAATAAACTTGAGAAGATCTGAATGAACAGGTGCAGAGTAAAGTGAGCATAACCAGGAGAATATACCATAATACAATTAAACTAAAACACTGTGAAAATGGACAGTTTTCAAAAACTTGAAAACTGATCAAAACAATGATAAACCATATAGAAGGTGGGATTTTACCTGGGACTTAAAGGAAACCAGGGAAGCCAGGAGGCAAGAGATGAAAAAGGAGGGCATTCCAGACATGGGGGACGATCAGCAAAAATGCTTGGAATTGAGAGATGAAATATCTTGTGTGAGGAACAGTAAGAAAGTCAATGCCACTAGATTGAGGAGTGGGGCATAAGAAGAACAGCTATGTAGGAGTGGGGTGGGGGAAAAGCTTGTTATAAAGGGCTTTGAATGCCAAATAGGGAATTTAATATTTCACCCTGGAGGTGACAGAGAACCACTGTAGCTTATTGAATAGGAGGGTGACACTGTTAGAACTGTGCTTTAAGAATATCACTTCAAGAGCTGAGTGAAAGATGGACAGGAGTAGGGAGAGACTTGTGGCAAACAAACCAAATAGCAAACTACTACAAAAGTCCAGGTGTAATAAGGGCCTACACCATAGTGGTGGCAGTATCAGGGGAAAGAAGGGGCATGTGCAAGAAATGTTACAAAGGTAAAATCAACCAGCCTCAGCAACAGATTGGACATGAGGGAGTGAGAATGAGGAGTGAAACACCTAGGTTGCTAACCTAGAGAATCAAGAAGATAGCGGTACATTTGGCAATAAGAGGAAAGTTTGGAAGAGAGGAGTGTTTTGGGGGAAAGATTACGAATCAAGTTTTGGACATGATAAGTTTAAAATGTCTACAGGCAGGGCAGCTAGGTGGTGCAGTGGAGAGAGTACCAGCCCTGAAGTCAGAAGTACCTGAGTTCAAATCCGGCCTCAGACCAAACACTTGACACTTACCGGTTGTGTGACCCTGGGTAAGTCACTTAACCTCAATTGCCTAAAAAAAATGTCTACAGGCATATCTAATAAGCAATTGGGATACAAGACTGGAGTTCATCTGAAAGGTCATGGCTGAGTAAGTAGATGTGAGAATCATCAGCATAAAGATGATAACTGAATCCATGGTAGCTGATGAGATCATCAAGTGAAACAGTATAGAGAGGGAAAAGAAGAGGTCCCAAGATAGAGCCCTGTGGGACAGTCATGGTTAGCAACATGACCTGAATCCAGCACAGAAGATTGATAGGTAGGTAAAGAACCAGGAGAGAACAGTGTCCCAAAAAACCTAGAGAGAAAAGAGTATAAGGAAGAAGGTGATCAACAGTGCCAAAGGCTGCAGAGAGGTCAAAAAGGATCAGGACTGAGAAAGGCCATTAGATTTGGCAATTAAAGAGATCATTGGTAACTTTGAAGAGAGCAATTTTGGTTGAAGAATGTAAGTCAAAATGTAGAGAATTAAGAAAAGGGTGATAGGAAAAGAAGTGGAGGCACATATTAGAGACAAGCCTTCTCAAGGAGTTTAACTACAAAAGGTAGGTCTTCAGTGGAGTACCCCAGGGTCTGTCCTTAGTCCTTTATGTGTATTTAACATTTTTTTGCCTTTTGGTGAAGTAATTAGGGTTAAGTGACTTGCTCAGGGTCACATAGCTAGTATCAATTGTCTGAGGTCACATTTGAACTCAGATCCTCATGACTCCAAGGCTGGAGCTCTATCCACCGATCCACCTAGCTGCCTCTATTTAACATTTTTCTCAATAACTTAGAGAAAGGCCTATTTATCAGATTTACAGATAAACCATACAGGAAGGGATAGCTAATGTACTGGGTAGTAGAACCAAGATCCAAAAAGATTCTGATAGGCTGACAGAGTAGGCTAAATTTAATAAAATCAATTTCACCACAGATAAAATCTTATACTGGGATTCAAAAAATCAATTTCACAGGTACAAGCATAGCCAGGAATAGAGTACAGTTTATCTAAAAAAGATCTGGGGTTTTCAGCAGACTATAAACTTAGTATGAGTCAGCAGTGTATGAAATCTATGGTTGCATTAAAAGAGACATAAACTTCCAGAAGGCAGTGCCAGTCTATCTGGATCTTGCTATGGGATGAGACCACACCCACAGTTCAGGAAGTGCACTGATAAGTTGAGAAGACCCAGAGGAGAGAAACCATGATCAGGAAGCCCTTTAAGCCCCAGTTCTATGAGAGTAAGCTAAAGGGACTTGGGGGTGTTTAACTTGAAGAAGAAAAAATTCATAGGGGCCATGATAGCTATCTTTAAGTATCTGACGTGATGCCAAGTGGAAACAAGATTAGAACTGTTCTTCTTGGTCCAAGAGGTCAGAACCCTGGAGTAATGGCTGGAAATTGCTAGACTTGATGTGAGGAAAAGCTTCCTATTATTTAATCAGGAGTATCCAAAAGTGGAAGGGACCATCTTGAGAGATAACAGGATGTGTGATGCTGTAAAAGGGACTTCTTTGGGGGACAGGTTAGATGACTGCTGAGGTGTCCTTCAACTCAAAAAATCTGAGATTCTCTTATCCAGGTTTGAGTCCTGCTTCTATCACTTAGTATTTGTGTGAACTTCAACAAGTCACCTGTTCTCACTAAGTATGTTTCCTTGCCTGTAAAATAAGAGTAACCAGAAAGATGCATTTTAAGGACACATTTTGCTGCCAAAAATTTTGTTATCACAGGTAGAAGGAATATAGGGAGCATAAGGATTTATTTCAGGATATGGATTTCCTATTGGTCATTCATGGCTTCACTCTATACTCCCTTCTCATTCTCCAGGAGAGAGAGGCTTTAACACTCCAGTTAACATGGTTCACCTCTGAGAAGGGAATTCCCATACCTTTGTGTCATGACACTCTATAGAGCTCTATAGAGAGACATTGTGGGCCTCCCGTACTCCCTGGTTACCAGCTGGACCACCAAAGCTGTTGGGTTGGAGCAGATGATCTCTACAGTGTATCCTAGTTCCTAAATCCTGTGCTATCTCCTAATTTCTCCTCAGCTGGGCTGGCCAACCTTTGAAAGATACAAATCTGAGACAGCATCAGTGCCTCAACCACAGCCACCAACCCAAGGCTGAAGAGAACAAAAGTCTGCATTCAACCAACTTTGTTAAAAAGGAGTTTTGTTCCCAGAGGATTTGTTAGCCAACATATCTCTATATATCATTGCAGCTGACTTTCTTCTTCATTTGGACAAGAATGGTTTTCTGTAGGCAAGAGCAACTAACTCAGAGTTCCTGAGACAAAATACTTCATTAATAATACTTACAGGTACTGCAGCACCTCTTTGAGAGGAGCCCATTTACACTAGAGGGGTTCTTCTGAGGGAGGAAAAGCCCAAAGAATAGACAGAAGCAGGAGGTGGCAATGAGAGTTTCAATCATAAGATGCATAGACAACTAAGTCTTCACTACCAGGATTACTACTTGGTGGCTTTCCTAGGTTGAATAGTTCTAGTACATGTATCAATGATTAAGGCAGTAAAATGAGGAGTTCCCTTAAGATTCAGTTTAGGTTGCTATAAAGAAAAACGAATTCTAGAACTTCTAGGAGATAGTCCCTGAAATAGTACCAGTCCATATGCAAGAATTGTGAAACAGTTCCAAATCATTAGTGCCTGGATGAGGTAATGATAGAAAAAGAATTTTATATATACAATAAAAAGGAACTGGTAGACCTTCTGAGAAAGATATAACTTGTTCTGGGACTAAGCCAAAATGGCAGAATTTTTACAAGTGAGAAGTAAAAACAATAGCAAAGCAGTTTTAAAAACTAAAAATTTATGGAAAGTCAATGACTACAGACGCGCAATGGTAGTGGTGAAGAAGTCTGAAAGAAATTCAACAGCATGAAAAATATGGAGAAAACAAAGGAATAAGGGGCAGCTAGGAGGCGCAGTGGATAGAGCATTGGCCTTGAAGTCAGGAGGATCTGAGTTCAAATTCGGCCTCAGACCAAACACTTGACACTGTGTGTCACTGTGTGACCCTAGGAAAGTCACTTAACCTCAATTGCCTGTCATGGACTCCTCTGAGATTCTGATGAAGTCTTTGGACTCTTTCTTAAAATGATGTTTTTAAGGGCATAAAACAAAATACACAAGATTATGAAAGAAAGCAATTATGCTGACAGAATCATCAAAATATTTTTAAAAACAAATTCACAGACACTTGAAGTCTATTCATATACCCCAGGGGTCTGTGGTCTCCAGTTAAGAACCCCTTTTCTAGACCCAATTTGTAAACTGCATGGTTTAGAGGAACTAAAAAGTACAACTACAAAACTGCTGGCTAAAATACATAATCTATTGTTACAAATGATCACTGTGCCAGATAACTAGTGGGATGTCAATATAACTTTCATCTACAGGGAGGTCCCCAGATGTGATCCTTGAAACTACAAACTACTAAATGTCACTTCCATCTCTAGAAAGCTAGTAAAATTTACAATATCATATTACAACAGTGAACATAACCTGGTGTTAGAAAGGTAAAATGGTTTTTATATAGAAGAATTGTAATTTACTAATTGTACTGTTATATGGGGGGCAGAGATGAAAGATTAAGGACTATCAATAGATACATGGATAAAGTAAGAAAGCAAAGGAGAGATGGGGTAGAGGCAATCAGGTACAGTGAAAAAAGAACTAGATTTAGGATCTGAGACCAGTTCAAGTCCTGACTCTTCAATTTGCTACCTGTTGACTCTGAAAAATCAGTTAACTTCTCTAGTCTTCAATTTCCTCATCTTATAAAACGATGGTGTTGGACTAGATTACCTTTACATCTGTTCCAGCTTTAAATGCGGTTTAGTGGAAGAGAAGGACATGTCTCTGGATAAATAAGTGTTAATAATGGAATCCCTGCAAAGATTTTTGATAGAATCAATCCTCATAGATTATCTAAGACAAGAGTAAAATGTCCAAGTTTAGTCTGGAAAGATGAAGAGAGGAAAAAAGATTGATGTCTATAAAGTTATGAAAAGCATGAGGAGAGTGAATATAGATTTGTTCAACGCTTTTTACAATAATGTAATTAGAGAATATCACTTGATACTTGAAGGAAGTTTTTTTGCAACATGGAAAAGTAATACTTGAGACATGAGGCAAATGCATGAAACATATTCTAAAACTTAAAGGAAAATAAAAATATAAACAAGCTCAAAAAGAATAAATTAAAATATGGTAAACCTATAATCTGTTATTTAGAAGCTAGTTATCTTAACTTTTTGAAGTTAATATGTAAAACAGTTGTTTTACCCTACTCACCCCTTGTTCCCTTTCCTTATATAGAACCAATGTGAATCAACATAAAAACTTGTATAAGCAAGAGATTGGAATGTTGTATCCAATAAAACTACACAGGAGCTACACAAAAGCTACAATAGAGAATCAAGCAGATATTTAGCTGGATAACAGGTTAATTACCTCACTTTATTAATACAACAAAAAATCTTTCATGATCCCAAGGATGAGAATTTTCATGAAATATCTTCAGAATGTTTTTAGATCAAACTGTAAAGGATTCTTTCTTTAATGATATGGAATGAAGAGAGATTCCCATTTCCTTAGTCATTTCCTGTATTATTCATATAATCCTTGGGTTCATCTAGCTGAAACCTGATTTTCTTGAGAGCTAATTTATTTTATATGGAATGTCTGTTACCCATTTGCAAATCTAGTGTTTTAATATGGTGATAAATTCTATTGGAATTTTTCAATCAATTCTTAATCTCTTCTCATCTCCCTCATTTCTAGCTGTTTCTTCAAATTCTAAAATGTTAGTGTATTATAATTGATTTTAAAAGTAAAGTCTGCATTTACAGCTATAAAAATAATTGATATTCAACAACAAAACTAACTCACCAACTGGATGAGTGATAGTGTTCTGTAGGCTGGGGATAACCACAGAGTATGTAGGTGAGCGATAAGGATAAATTGTTGTTGGATTTGTAGAGATGATATTCTGCGTAGTACCAGAAAACACAGTGGACACACTTAGGGGGAAGCGTTTTCGTTTTCCTGGACGTGGTTGATAAACCCAACCTATGGAAGATTAGATACTCCTTGTAATTTGAATATCTGTGCTCTTACATAACTGTTGTCTATACTTGAAAAAAAGTAAAACATCCTAACCATAGCAGACAAGTATACTATTCTGTGTACTTAAACTTACTTTACAAATATAGGCTTTTAAAATCTTCTGAGTAGTAGCCACTGTAATTCATATTTAAAGAAGGAGCAATTGAGGCATAGAAAAGTTGAATGTCTAATGCAATCACATACTGCTAGTGGTAGAATCAAGATAAAAGATCATAAGTGAGGGTTCTGAAGTTATTCATCTACCTAAAAGACAATGTTCCAAATTTATAAAATATTACTAGCCTTGTGTTATCTCATTCCATGAAACATAACTACTTAAGTATTATAATGGTCTCTTATGCCTGGTCACTTTTTTTTTGGTGGGGGGGTCTGGCTAAAAAAATAGAAGATCAATGTCCTACAAATTCTTCAATTCAAAAAACAATGCAGATCCATTTGTCATTCCAGTGAAGATTTATTTATACAAGCTTAATCTTCCTTAATATCCTCGCTGTAAGAGGGAAAACAAACTCATTCCATATTATATAGCGAGTGGGAAAAACACACCAATCAATAAAAAACCATGTTCTGATAATCACATGATTTTGGAAGGCAGTATGATGACAACTCCTTTTACTCTTACAGGCTCATTTATATATGGGTATATTAAATATTATTCTCCTTTGCTATAGCTAACAGTTTATTTTCTATATAGTTTTGCAAAGTTGAAATCAGGATACAAATTTCATTTCACTTTTCTAAACCTAAAGAAAATTTAACAAACTTTTAATACCTTTCCCCATGTGTTTTTTTTTTCCCTATATAGAAGCCACTCAGAGATTTAACAAGAAACTCTTTAGTTCCATATCTATTATTTTAGGAAAGCCTATAATGCAATGATACTCCACCCCACCCCCAGTTGTAGCAGCTGATAAGCTTAAGGATAAATATCCCTTGGCTTTCTTATGCCTGAGGTAGCTAAATTCTATCTAACTATTATAATGACCAAAGGCAGCAAATTGTATTTGATAGGTAGCTTGCCTGGAAACTAAGAAGATCTGGGATTAAGTGCTGCCTGTGACACATTCTGATTTTGTGACTCTAGGCAGGTCACTTCTCAGGATTAAGACTGTTTCAGAGAAAGTGTCGGCCTGCATTGATAGAGGAAGTTTCCTCAACTGGAAGCCCCATATGCCAATGAAATCACATGTCCAGTCCCTAGCCCTACTACAGTGAGGTTAGGCACCACTTCTTGAATTCATAGCCTCATTAAATAATGAGATAAAGAAGGAAAAAAATTTCATGTCAGTCTCAAATATTAATCCAATATCTTAATTCAAAGAAAACATGAAAAAAGATTTGTCTGTTTCTTTTGATTACCAGGAAATTCTTCTCTGTGCTTTTCTTTAATTTTTTGTGCTTCATCATAATAAGGTTTCTTTTGTTCTTCACTAAGTTTGTTCCACTCTAACCCGAGTTGGACACTGATTTCTGCATTGTTGGCTGCTGGGTTAGCTTTGGCTAGTGCTGGGCGATGGATTCTTGCCCAGACCATAAATGCATTCATAGGTCGCTTCACATGACCATTTCTGTCTTTACTGAAGGGAGTATCAGGAATTCCTACATGATAAAAATCAATAGACTGAATTAATGTGGAACAAACATACAGTTTTGTATAAGAAAGTATCACTATCTCCATCAACTCAATTATTCATAAAGCACCTGGAGAAAATCCAAACTGTGCTTAGCAAAAGAACTGCCATTATTCCAGAACTTACAGCCCCTGCACTCACCATTCTAAACTGTAGCTTAGAATGACTCTCCTTTTCCTCAACAGAGAACAATATGCTTGTTGAAAACACAAGTAACTTATTGGCTTATTACTTCTATGAGCTACACCAATATCTCAAAAATTATTGACATACAGCTCTTCCCCATTAATAATATCCATTGTATAAAAATCTGGTGAATATTTATAGGAGCAAAATGAGTTATAATCATCTGTTCTTCACAGCATAACTTTAATTAGTACTACTAGCCTCCCTTCCAGAGACTGACTGAATCATAGACAAATGAAAGAAGTGGTTTACTGTCCTTGAGCAAGTCACTGATCATAACAAGAAGGACTGAATCTACATCTCTGGAAGAACTCATTAACTACCATTGTCTCAACTTCCTCTCAGTTTTGTTTTTGCTTTTACAAATGAGATCTAGACTGAAGCAAGGATGCAAAGAAAAGAAAGCAAGAATGCTTAATGGTAAATTAAAGAGGTACAGTGGTAGAATAATAATAAAACTTAATAAATGTTAGGTGACTGATAGGAAATAGGGGAAGAATGGAGAAGTGAATTAGGAATAATGACAGCAAAAATAGAAACTACCAAAAAAAGGGGGGGAAGTTAAAATGAGAAATGGTATTAAAAATATAAATATTGTAGAGCATTCAGCCTGAACTAATGAGTAACAATTAGTCATTGCTAAGTACTGAAATACTGGACCAGAAATATTTATCTATTTGCTAGCATGACACTGGTAATTACAATGTATTCCTTCAGAATAAGTTTTCTAATTTAAGAAATTTGGCAATAATTTATACTATGATATTTCCATTCCTTAATTATTTTATTTTCATATAGAATAAATGCTAGCTACAGTCCAAGTATTGTTCTAAGAAACCATATCTAAGATTGACTTATCTTTTAAAATGTAGAAATAATCTTGTGTGCTATTCATAATAACCATTTACAGTTTACCTTATGCAATTTTTTTTTGCTTCACACTTTCCACTGACACAATGTGAAAGTTAATAGTTACATATTAGCTATTATTTTCAAAGTATGTTAATTTGCTGTAGTACTCCTTTGAACCGAAACCCATCATGCACATTATGTCTAACAAAAATGTTTATATTTCTGCTTAGGTGCATTTTGCCATTTTAAAATTTTATCTCTAGATCTTGAAATTGATGTTCTTAGGTGTTTAGTAATCATACACCTGTTTTTGTGTTTTACTGGAAAATATACAATTCAATCAGAAGTGATACCTGTGCAGACTTTACATTGCAAAAGAATCAGAGTTCCATCATTTTTTTCTAGTTTTTGCTTCTGAATTGCTGAAATGTCAGCTATGAGGCAACATGGACGAAGCTTTGAAAACCATATTCCCCTGCTGTCTAATACCTGCATCTGAGGGAAGCACGGTGAGCGGGACATCTTTGGTTTCTATTTTTACTGAAGGCTCCAGTAAGGATTGCATTTTTATAGGCACTGGTGTCAGAGGCACCTTAGTCAATCGTATCAGCTCTGAAGGCGGAGGTCCCTGAAATTGGATTCTGGCCCCAGGGGGTACAGTATGAAGAGTCAAAGGTATCCTCAGATCTTGTGAATGGGGGCCAAACCCACTGGGAGGCTGAGCCAAAATGACATCCTTGTTGGAATGGACCACGCCATTGGATGCAGGTGGCTTGACTTGTGCAGCATCTTTGCCATGCCTGCAGTCTTCACGCATCCTTTCAGGCTCCTCAGTTTTTATGGCTCCTTCTCTCACAGCCCCAACAAGGCTTTTGCTCTCCCCACTGTTTTTGGCCATCTCCCGCCTGCTCTCCTCTGCCTCCGCCTTGCTGCCCTTCTTCTCCTCCACTCTGCGGCTATCAGTGGCTGGGCTCGGACCTTCACCTTTGCCCCCTCTGGCAGCCCTGTGGCCACCCTCAGCCCCCCTTCTTCCCAAGAGTTCCTGTCCTGCTCCTTCCCTGGCTGTCTGCAACTCCTGCTTCTCAGCCTTCACCTGCAGCACCCTGCTCGCAGGGATGTGCTGGGCCGGCGGCGGCAGCTGCTCCCCCCTGCAAGTTGCACCCTCCCCGGACACCAGGGCAGGGGGCAAGAGTAGGACTTGCTCGGACTTCACCTGCAACAGCCTGGTCGGGCCAGACGCCGCAGTGGCAGCGGAGGGGTGGCAAGGCAGGGCCGGGGGCGTCGCTGCCTCCTCTGCGGCGGGGGTGGGATGCAAGAGCAGGATGGAAGCAGGAGGGGGAGGAGGAAGAGGGGGAGGCGGCGGGGGCGGGGGCTGCTCCGCCTTCACCTGCAGGAGCAGCCGGGGGGCGGCGGGGGCCGGGCCTCGAGGAGGGGGCCTGCCCGCTCCGGAGTGGGGATGCAGCGACAGGGGCTGATCCCCGGGGGCTTGGCAAGGGGAGGGGCTTCGGGGCCCGGACACCTGGAGGGGAGCCGGGGGGGACCGAGGCGACGGCTGAGGGGGCTCGGCGGGCTGCCGGCAGGGGGCGCCCTCGGCCGGAGGCTGCGAGAGCAGCAGGGGCAGGGAAGGGCGGAGCGGGCGCGGCAGGGACCCCCGCGGCAGTTGGCGGGGCAGCAGCAGTGGCGGTGGCGGTGGCAGTGGCGGCTCCGGCCGGGCTCTCTCCATGGGGCTGCGCGGGGGCAGGGGAGCCCCGGCCCGCTCCCGGATTGTGAGCTCAGCCGTTTGTTGGCGACCCCCCTTTCGGTTAAGACCCTTCCAAACCCTTTGCTACCCAGAACGCTACGCGGTTCAAAATGCAGCGCCCCGGGCCGGCGCCGTCCAATCACAAGATGGGGGGAGCCCCAGCCCCTCCAATGAGAGGAGCGGCTCCCCTTCCTCCGCCCACCCCCTGCCTTGTATGGACTGCGTCTCGCGCTGGGCCCTCGAATCACCAAGGCCGGCACGTGCGCCCCATTTTTCTCCCTCTCTCCCGGAGTTCTCCCCTGGCCGTTGTCCGTAGTTACCCCCTTCCCCAGCAGGAGCGCCCGACAATGGCGTTGCCCAGGAGACGCGGGGGTTCCATGCCATTGCCCCGCGGGTCAGCCCTCGTGCCCCTTACACGTGGTGGGGCCGCCGGGCCTCGGCCCGGCCGAGGCAGGCTGGGCCGAGGCTGTCGAGGGGGGGGCCGAAGTGAAGGCCTCATCGCCGCCTGGAGCCTAAAAACAGAGTGGAAAACCCCAAACCACTGGACATCCTGCAGATCTGGTGCCTGCTTAGGGGAGGTAAACTTTCCCTTCGGTCAGGAACTTGAACAACCTTGGCGAACATCTAATTCCCTCTTCAAGTAAGGAGCCTTTGAGGCAGCAGCGTCACTTTTTAACGCAGACAGAATAAGAGAAATTCAGCATTGATTTCCTGCCCCTAAAATGTGGTTTTGGCTTAAATCTGAACGCTAGCCTTTAAAACTGCTAGTTCCAACATAGGATTACCAATCAACTTTTTTTTTTTTAATTACAAGACTGTAATGGGAGGCAAAGGACCTGGGTTCCAATCCTGATTTTGCTACTTAATCTGTGATGGTAGATAGGCAAAATCACTTACCTTCACTGAATCTCAGTTTCTTCATCTGTAAAAGGAGGGCCTTGAAGTAGAAGGTCCCTTCTAGGTCTATAAGCTTATGTTCTATATTCTTGTGTTCTATGTTCCAGTAAGAAGCCATCAACTTCTGTGGTAATATGCTAATCAAATAACTGTTTGACAACTTGACAACTTTAGTCTATTCACATCCTGAAAACCCCACAGTTACCATGACCCCACCACTACCACCTCCTCCTTTCTCATCCTCAAATCCCCTTAATAGCCTGAGGCTGCACCAGACTGAAAGAATATTATACAAAGGCTAGAGCCAGGCCTAGGAGACTACAGATCACCATCAAAGAAGGTACTTAGATCATGTCCAGATCTGAGAGGGGGTTTAAAGGAGTCTCTGTAGAGGAAATGAGGGCAGGGTGCTAGGGATATGACTTACTTGAAAATATTACCTCAATTTGCTAAATGGTATTATAAAACTTCTGCTCTTTTTCCTCCTAATCCTCATTAAAAAAGCATAAAAAAATACAAGGAAAATGAGGTGTGAATTTAAATAATCTGTTCTTTCATAGTTTATATTGCGCAACAGGATATTTAGGACTAGTTAATTCAAACATGGTTCCTGCAATTAAGTTTTCTTTGCCCATCTCCTGTAAGGGATAGATGGCACATAAGGAGCTTCAGGGGTTTCTGTTCTACTGATGTCCCTAAGACTTTAAGTTGCAAAGAAGGTGCCCACTTGCATTGGTAGAGAGAGTTTCCTCATATGGCAGTTACCAATTCCATTAAAACCACAGATCCAGTTCCTACCCTATCCCTATTGTTTTTTATTCCAGTCATTTTCCAATATGCCATCCCTAAGAAAACCTCACCTTTATAACAAGGAACCATAGTTCAACAAAAAAAATGACCAACAAGATGACCTCATCTGACAGTACATTGAACATTCAGGAACCTGAGGGAGTTAACAATAAACAGCATGTGCCAGGCAACTTAAAACAACACCATTACTTTAACTACTTTCTCCCCTTAGACCTTGTTGGGGACAACCCAAGACCTTGAACCCAAGAGCCTTGGGAATAGTAATGCTTCTCAGTGCCCTCAAACATTATCCTGGGAAACAACCCAACTGGAGATACAGCCTGGAAGTCTTGCCATCAAAGTCCTTGGTACTGTCAAATAGTTTAATATCAGAATCTTACATGATTTTGTCAGTGGAAATGACATTCAATAAGAATGCTTTGCCTTTTCAACCTAAAGACCATGGGACTTTTCCATCTGGGTTGCAATTGAAACTTTCCATATGAGTTGTCTTTCCCCGCCCTCTGTTAGAATGAGTTCTTTGAGAGCACTCTTACTTTTCATTTGTATTCCCAGCACTTAGCAAAGTTCTTTGCACATAGCAAGGGCTTACTACATGCTTTATTCATTCATTCATCTATAATCAACTACTCTCAAACTAGAGGAAGGAGATATACTTCATCATCTGTTCTCTTAACCAAGATTGGTCAATGCAATTAATCTGAATATTTTCAGTTTCATTTACAGTACTGTAGTCATTGTTAATTGGTTTTGCTTTCTTCATTCTGGTCAGTCAATTTACACATCCCCCATTTGTCTCAGTTCCTCATATTTGTCATTTCTTATGATGCAAAAATAAATAGTTCATTGAATTCACATACCACACATTCGGAATTTTTCCAAGTAATGGATACCCATTTTATTTCCAAGTTTCTGCTACCAAAACAAGTACAAATGCTTTGTTTTTTGTTTTTTTTTTTTTGTTAATACATGAGACCTTGCTCAAGCCCAGGGGACAACCTGGGCCCCCAGGTATGGGGGCTGCTCGAATCACCAAGGCTGGCACGTGCACCCCATTTTTCTCCCTCTCTCCCGGAGTTCTCCCCTGGCCATTGTCCGTAGTTACCCCCTTCCCCAGCAGGAGCGCCCAACAATGGCGTTGCCCTGGAGACGTGGGGGTTCCATGCCATTGCCCCGGGGGTCAGCCCTCGTGCCCCTTACACGTGGTGGGGCCGCCGGGCCTCGGCCGGTCCTGAGGGCCGACATGAGCCATTCTAAAACCGATGAAATTGCAGTATTTCAGTGGCTCCATGACAAAATATGGTATAGTGAAAAGACCACTATATTTGAAGTTGATTTAACTCTTGCCTCTACCATTTATTAAATGTGACCTTAGAAAACTCACTTCACTTCACCATTTTTCAGTTTCCTCATCTGCAAAAATAAGAGAGTTGTAGTAGATGATCTCTCAAGTCCTTTCTAGTTCTAACATTAAGTATTTCCATCCAGATCTCATCAGTATGAATACTTTATTATTTGATAATTAAAACCATTTAATTTTTTAAAATATCCAAGATACGTACTTCATTACTCCAAAAAGATTTATGATTTCATTCTTCTACAGAACAGATGACAATCCCTCTGTGTCTTAGTAGATGGTCTTTGTGACTTGCAGTGGCCAAAATCATACGCTGCTGACCAACCTTACAAATGAGCCTTTCTGAAGTTAGTTAGACCAGTCCTCAAAAAAACAAACACGCATGGTTCATCTTCAAAGCTTTTCCAACTTGGTAGGACCTGCCAGAGTCTACTACATTGACAGTGTTTGAGAGTTCAAGTTTACTTATACCCCATATGCAAAAAGAGGACTTCAATGAAACATTCCTTAATAGAGTAAAATGCAATCACTTTGAAATACACAGTAATTAGAAAAAAATCTATTTACTTAAGTTCAACCTTAGCAACCTAAAGCTATTCATTTTACCATCCTCATCCTAATAGCAGGTTCCTGTTTATTTTACCTTTAATTCTATCTCTATAATGTCTTGTAAATCCATCCTTTTTTTCCTATTCTCAGTACTACCACCCTACAGCAAGCTATCATTACTTTTTGTATAAACTAATTAACTAATTAAGTGCATTAATGTTCTAAATGGTTTCTTCAACACCAGTGTCCTCTGTCCTCTTTATATCTTCACTCCCACATAATCAATCTGTGCTAGTGGTGGTTCTGGATTTCAACGAACAGAGACACAGTCATGCTCACGTCTAATTTAACTACAGAGCTTATTAATAGCATACATGCTACAGGCAGAACACTCATTGATATATAAGAAGTAATGTGTTTTCCTCTCACACCCAACTTTGGGTCCCACTCTTCATCCTCTCTGGGAAATTAAACTATGCCCAGGAAATCCAGACTATATTGGCCTAAAAGGGAAAATGTCTATAGACTCTAGCTCCCTTTTTCTACTGAGATAGATAACCCCAGAAGGGTAGCTATTACTATTTTCAAGATTCTAAAGGTAACCCTTTTGGTAGCTGTCTTCCTAATCTTCCAGCCTATGAGCCCCCATTGATGTGCAGCAAACCCCCCAGCAGACTCGGTAGTTCTTTAACAAAGGAGTTCACTCAAATGTCATAAAATGAAGAGAAGTTGCAAAGCATTTCCCTCAAAACCAGAGGTACATTCTCCCACAAATATTCACAGAGTCTGCGGGGATGAAACAGTTGACACAAACTTAAAGTGCAGTGGTAATAAGACCCACACATAGGGAATAAACAGGGCTACAGCAATTCATGATTCCAGAACTACAGGGCCTCAATGTTCTTTCTCCAGAAAGTCCTCACAAAGTTCACTTTAGGGTGTGGTGTTGGTGATGGATCCAGAGCTCACATGAGCTATTTTCTCCAAAGGCAAGGCATCTCAGTTAAATGAGTCACTTAGCTGGATTTTTTGGACACTCAGCCAGATGAAATAATTCATTACTGGGCTGATCAAACAAGTCACTCAACCTGATCCTCACCAGGCTTGGCTATTGATGAGTTGGAACTAGAGGTTGGTTGGCCACTAGAGACTTCTACTTCTGGGCTGAACCAGACAAATCATTTAGCTATTGGATTGCTGTTAGATTGGGCTAAGTAGATTACTCTGTTGCCAAGTAGCTAGTTGCTGCCAAGCTGGGCAAGGCACACTGCTTGACTGCAGAGCCATTTTTACAGGGTATGGCATCTCCATTGGACAGGTTGATCTACTGTACTCCCTGGACTCGCTCTGCAATTGGCAGCTAAAATCT